TGATATCTTCAAACATATATTTTATTCAAAAATAAAAACATCATCGATTTCTCAAAAAATCACATAAAGTCATATTATAACATCGACTGAGATAAAGAATAAAATGAAATATTAAAATCACGATGTATCTCGCTGCATTACACGAGTACGCTTCTAGTTTTTATCAAAGAGTGCCATAATATTAAATCCATTAAGCCGATACATGCACAAAGTTGTTATACAAAAAAAAATTAAGATATGTTTGTTTAGTTCTCATTGATAGTTTAGAGATAGGTCTATTTAATCAGACATATTTTAGGGATTGTTTATTTATCTTTTAATAGTTTTATTAAAAGACAATTTCTGAATCATTAATGAGTGAATGTTGTTGACAAAAAAAATGTTTGTTTCTTAATGGTTCTAAAACCCTCTAAATAATTTTGTATCATATGTCTCTCTTAACCATTCAGATCTGTAATTTCATTGTAAATAATTACTAAATAATTATATTTTATTTTACACTATATCATAAAATTCTCTTAATCATTCTTACCATTTAATCATTCCCTCCGATAAATCATTCCATATCAAACCATTTAATAACCCAAAAAAAATGAAGTAAAAAAAAAAACCAAGTTCCTCGTATATTTACCCCTCCTCCATTCTCTCGCCTCTTCGTCCAATCAAAATAAACCCATCGATTCCTTTCGCTCTTGATTCCCGCCTCTCGATTCTGGCACCAGTAACCAGCGCACACCAGTAACCATCACCCTTGATTACGGTAAGACCTCTTCTCCATAAAGCATTATACGTTCAGTTTCATGGGCTTGATTAGGTTTATTGTCTTTTTCCTTCATTGCAATCTGTCTCGATGTGGTTGATTGCCATATTTTCTTTTGTGTGCTACTTTGATCTGTTAAGAATGAGTTTCTTTAAAGATGAGTTTGCATGTTTTGAATCTATGATTGGTTAGTCTACTACCTATTCGATGAATTGCTTGAGAGAATTATGACAATTTTTTTGATGTTCAACATTTGGTTGCAATATGTTGTTAAATGGTATCGATTGGTTCGTCTACTATCCATTCTTTGAAATGCTTAAAGAGAATACGGCAATTTTTTTGATTGCAGTATGTTCTTTTTTTTTTTGTGTACTACTTACATTTGTTAAAAATGGTTTTTTTTTAAGATGAGTTTATATGTTTTGGGTTTATGGTATGGTTCATATCAGGGAACGACCCATAATTTTTTTCAATTTGTGGCACCATTTAACTATAAGAAAAAATATACGGAAATTTTTTCAAACGGTGGCACCGTTTGATTATAAGAAACAAATATACAGAATTTTTTCAAATGGTGACACCATTTGACAGAAAATGACACTAACAAGATTCGAACTTGGATTTGGGGTGGAATAAAAGCCTTCCAAACCAACTCTACCAAATAAAACTTGTTTTTATTGTAGTTTCATAACACATACGGTAGCACACAACAAATTAATACCGTTGCACCTTTCACGAACTTAGTTTTTTTTACCCTTCAATGGAGGAATAGCAATACGGTGGCACGTGCCATCGTATGTACCTCTATAGGTCCGTCCTTGGTTCGTCTACAACCTATTCGATAAAATGCTTAAGAGAAAATGAAGTAGTTTAAATAGTTTTGTTCATGGCGTTGGCTGATTTTAGCATGTTGCAACATCCAAATCTAGAAGATCTCAAGCTAGCTAGCAGTCTCTTACCTGTTTTCAGAAAACCATGTAGTTTTTTGAGGATTCATGAAATATACGGACAAAATTTAGATACTTGCAAAGGCCCAGTTAAGTCCCTTGACTCCCTTCTTGTTTTAAATCCCTTGTTCCTAAGGGGCTGTTTGGCAGTTGCTGAATGATTTAGTGCAGAATAGTTAAGAGGTCAGAATGGTTAAGAGGGTCAGAATGGTTAAGTGCTGAATGAAATAATGTTGTTTGGTAATTGTTTTCTGAATGATAATAAATTACCATTTTAACCTTCTGAAAGATTTAGGATGTATCATCATGATTTCACAACCAAATGATGCATATACAACAAAATCATGATGCAAATACCCATTATGAACAAGCTTACCATGTTAGGATGTATCAACATCATGATGTATATACAGCAAAATCATGATGCATATACCCATTTATCAACAAACAGAACTATGCATATACCCATTTAAAACACATCCTACATACAAACAGCCCTGTACGAGCCCTAATTAACAAATAACCCTAATTAATCTGGTAGAGGGAAGCAGTAGGGGAGACGATGAAAGACCTGGTAGAGGGAAGCAGCAAAATCATGATTCAGTTACCTTTGACTGGCGACGGGAGGCGACTGGCGACGGGGGGCGACGTGCAGCGGCGACGGGGGGCGACGTGCAGCGGCGACGAGAGGCGGCGACGAGCGGCGGCTACCGACGATCGTAGGGTGGGGGTGGCGATTTGCAGACCGGCGACGAGAGGGTGGGGGTGGCGATTTGCAGACCGGCGACGACGCAACAGCTTGTGTGGGAGACGACGCAACAGCTTGTGTGGGAGACGACGCGACAGCAAGGGGGCTGTGGAGCGGGAACGATCGAGTGGGAGGAGGCAGGAGGAGGAACGATCGAGTGGGAGGAGGCGGGAGGAGGAACGATCGAGTGGAGCGGGAACAATTTTGTTGAGAGGGCAAAAATGGAAGAACATACATCTGAACCATTGAGGAGCTCTCTAACCCCTAAATCGTTAARAGGATTTTGTAACGATTAAGAGCTGCTTTTTTTTTGCCAAACAGCTTTGTACCTCTTAGCGATTAAGAGGTTTCCTCTTAATGTCACCATTAAGAGGTTTCCAAACAGCCCCTAACATCACAAATTAAGTCCCTTGTTCCTAACATTTCAACTTTATAAAAAATCATCCCTTGTTGTATTAAATCCTATCAAAGCAACAATAAACTGCATCAACTTTGTATTTATAAATCATCATGTAGAATTAGACAAGTTCTTGTGTTAAATTCTTTGATTTGACCACTGTTGTTCGATTTCTTGTGTAATATTTCTACGTTTTTTCTGATGAGCACCAAGTGTTCGATAAAAGCATCCAATGAGAGATTTTGGTCTTGACTGGTCCTTAGATTTTAAAAATGATCATTCAGTGTTGCCTATTGCTAGTTTGAATATCTATTTACACTGGTTCTTCTGAGACCAGCTTAGTCCTCTGCTCCAAGAATGTTGATATGATAGGTATTTGATTCAAATGGTAGCCCTCTACTCCAAAGGGGATAGCTTTAGATTGCTGGGCACAGGCCTATGCTAGTTCAATAAATCTTGAGCATTCTGTCGAGTTCTTTCTTGTAAAGACAATCAAAAATCGTTTCTCAAACAACACTTGGCTCTTTAAGGCACATTGACATCCTTAATATAAGTCTGTCTTGATACTTATTCACTATTGATTTCTTCTTGAACTAATTGTTTCAATATTGCTTCATTGCTCTCCAAGCTTTATTACTGATCAATAGTCAGAGGTTGTTTGGTTCATATTGGGGAATGAAAATGGAAATGGAAATGTGAATGAAAATGACAGGAATGAGAATGAATTTTTATTCCCCCAGTTTAATCTGGAATGAAAATTTGGCTCTTGGGGGAATGAACCCATTATATTATATAATACCAACAGTTTCTTCTATTTTCATTCCCATTGATTACTTCTTAATACCACTAACCAAACACCCCCTCAGTTAACGAGCTATCAATACTCAAATGTGGAATTCGTTCCATTTTCTAGGTCCATTCCCTTTCTCTTCATTTTCAGTTTCTGTGATTCCATCCTACCAACAAGTTTAGAGTTGTTGGTCAAATTTCTTGGTTATAGCCTGTAGAAATCAAAGTTCATGTGAAAATATTATTGAGTGTGACGATAGGAACAAGTTTCTGTCTGATCGTTAGCAATAACTAATATATCAAGTACCTACTACGTAGCATGTGCAACACTGAATTAGTCGTTAATTAATGCAACATTTCTAAAATTAAAATTTCTTGAGTTCTTCGTTAAATACATATATTGCATGATTAAATACACGTTCTTTGTTTGTATTGTTTATTTGGCATGCTAAGAAGTGTGCATTATGTTTCTGTGTATGATGTTTAAGTTTCAGGGCAAACGAGTATTCTTTATGCATGATTTGGTTTTCAAGATGCCGTGCAGAGTTCTAAGTGTATCTGTTTTAGTAAATCTACTGTTAAGGGATATTTGTCTATTTATTTATATATGTTCTAGATATAATATTAGTTTTAACATAACTAGATAATAGGTGTCTAGCCTCTTGGTGGTATCACCTCAGCTAAGCCAATTTCCTGTAGACTTAGCCAACCAAATGTCGGACATACTTGTCGCGAATGGATTCTGACCTGTCGACTTAGCCAACCAAATGTCGGTCATCTTGTTTATGAAAAAAGGAAACTATATAGCTAGAAACTTTTGATGAGGGCATTGTTTTGACTTTCTAAGGTTAACTGGTACAATGATCTTTATCTCTATTTGCAAAACTGGACACAAGGTTTTACTTGCAATAACTGGTGTGAACTTGAAAGTACATCTGCAAAGATTTCTTATTGGCTTTGCAAGATGTTACGGTACACTTATAATGTTACACTAAACGATCTATGTTCACTGGATGATTCCTCCATCGATAATTTGTTGTCCATCCTTGTAACTGATTTAAACAATTTTTTATGGTATGCAGATGGAGAGAAGTATAGCTGATGAGCTCTACTCAGAAATCTTGGAACCAAAAGTAGAATTGGGTCAAACATCAGTTCCTGATATAAAGGAATTCAATTCACTAGGTATTAGTTTGAGGATCACTTTTTGCTAACTTATACTAGTGGGTAATGGATGCATCAGGTGAAAAGTTGTATGATAGTTACAAAGCACTGCAACTTAAGCGAGATATATGATTGACTTGCCATGCTGCTTAAGGTAGTTTTCTTGTCAATGGAGTGACCGAAACTGTTTTTACAGCCTGCAAAACAACTCTCAACCATCTTACTGATTATTCTCTCAAACGCTAGGAAATTCAATTTTTATTATCAACACCCTTTCATACTTGTGTTCTACAAGAACCATTATAGCCTCCATGGTTCAAGGCTTCAAGCCCTATGAATATAGTTCTGTTATGCTCTTAGACTTTATTGTATGTTCCTTTCTGACATTCATGAGTTCTATGTTTATTTTCAATGATAAATGTTTGGTACCCATCTCTGCAGGTGCTCTTTGTTACATGCTTACATAAATTTAAGCCACCACTTAAGGGGTTGTAACTGCTCTTTTCAGCGAGTATCCAAAAATACTGCTACAATTAAATGATAAATATCAACAAAAATTTTGAACCTTCTACTGAAATTTGAAAGCCTGGTTAAGATAACCACTTAAGAATGGGCTGTCCTAGTATGTAACATCACCACCCTCGGCAACTCCAGCACTAAATGCATGGAGATCTCACAACCCTTTGACGACTAGAGTGCAATTTACTGTCATATTCACCACTGATCACCTACTTCTRGAGTGCAATATGAAATATGGGTCAATAGGATTATGTGCCTTGGCTAGGTATGAAACCATCAAAATAGATTCCTTTACATATATGTGGAAACACTTACAATCTCATTAAATATCCACAGTTTTCAAATGGGTATATAATGATCCCTATGTTTTGTGCAATTGTGCTAGATTGTGATGTAACAATATTGGAGAAGCTTCATTACTGATGCTTTTGGTTTTGCCACTGCTTTATGCTGAGAATCTGACTAAATAGACTATATATACTCCCCTAAGTGCAGGTAAGCAACACTGAGTGGAGGGACATTTGTGATAATACAGTAATCACACTGATTTCCTAGAGATTCAAGACACTATGTTATATTTTGACTCTAAAACCTTGACTATTAAAAATGTCATGTGCAACTGCGCAAGTACTCTTTTCACATCATACAGTTTGATATTGAAATCATTTTAACGACTGTAACCAAGATCTTATCAAATCGGATACCTTTATTCTTACTCTACCCTTTCACTACCTATCATCATTTGTCTTTTCGTCATAATCTTGTCCGGCATTGCTTCTCCATGCCTGCACCGATAGTTCTCGTTCACATGTGTGATTGGTGTCGAGACAAGACAGGACATGACAGGATAAAACAACTGTTCAACGTTTGGTAAGATAAAACTGGACAAAACAGAACAAGTAGTATGACCAATTTACCCCTAATGAGTTGTTTATTTTAATTAATTTATGTAATTTATTAAGTTATACTAGAATAATTATTTCTTATAACAAAATACATCATTTAAAAATTTTCGTCAAAACAATTAAAATGACACAAATTAAAAAGTTTATGTAGTTTCCAATTTTTATTTTTCTCTCTTTTCTACATTATTTTTTATTATTAATATATGATAAATTAATAAAATATAGAAACCGTATAAAAATAATATTTTGAGGACAATAAAATAAAAGTTTAAGCAACATAAAATACAATAAATAAAATTTGAAGAATGAATAAAATGTGAAAAGGAGACCTATTTGATGTTTTAGAAGAGAATTAAGTTCTATTTTGAGGTTATATTGGTAAAAATATAAGTCTGTTTCATCTTGTTCCACCCTGTTCCATGGGGGTAGGGGTGGAACATGCGTGTTCCACTTTGTTCCACTCTGTTCCTATCTGTTCTACATAAAGGTCATGCCAAACATGGAACAGGGATCCTTGTTCTGTCCTGTCTAGTGTACCAAACGCAGGCCTCAATGGTTGAAGCCTTAAAGGCGAGGAATGCTTTTGTCCTCGTTGAAAGATGTTCATGGCCAGAATAGGGAAATGTTTAGATTCATTACGGAAATTCAGCATGTTGTTCAACATCTTAATATGCTTTGGAATCCTTGGCAAATTTTATCGTGTGGACATGTTCAAAATATAACAAGGGTCTATTTGTTTGTCATTTTCCTCCATTTCCCGTTCTATTTTGTGAGCCTCATCTTCATTTCTTCTTGCCTATGTAATGGGACTTAAAATTATTGTTTTTATTTCTTCTCACTTAATAAATGGGACACCAAATTATATCCTTTCTTCTTATCACTATATAAATGGGACCTACAAAATGGAAATGTTAAATGATCAAAAAGAATAAGACCTAAAGTTATTTTGTCTGCCCTATAGTTTTGTTTGATCTGATTTTGCTTGTCTATGTCCATCCTTTATTTAAAGTGGTAGGGACTGTCTTCTGTATAAGTTTTGGAAGATTGGATGATCAAATTGTGAGGTGGGATAAATTCTTGCTAGAGATGAAACTTGCTTGCTTTGTTCCTTGTCCATATCTTCTCTTTAACGTCCATCTTTCTGTATGTAGTCAAAGTAATTTCTCTTCTTTATGCCCATCCTATGGTACCCCATCCCTGATCTGCTGTTTAATTTCAGATGGTGAGGATGAACATTGGTGTGAAGATGGATCATCATGGAATGGTTCTGATGGGAAATTTGATCCATCATCTGACTTAGACAGGGAATGGCAAAGAAGAAAAAATCAATTCCATGCAGTATCCTCAATACATACGCATATCTTACATAAGCTGTAACACTGGTGTATTTATTTTTTTGCTAAATCTTAAATCATTCATAGATTGGATATCGCGATGGCCTTATAGCAGGAAAAGAAGCTTCTGCACAAGAAGGTTTCAATGTTGGCTTCAAGGAATCTGTAGTTGCTGGATTTAATTTGGGTTTCGTGAGAGGTGTTACTGGGTACGTTCCATTTTTCTATATTTGACTAAGTTGCAAGTTATATTATATTTACTCTTTCAACGGACTTTTCTATGTTCTATTTAACATCTGGTTTCTGTATTGGTGATCGCGATGTGGTCTAGAGCTCTGAATTGCCTTCCTGGTGAATTAAGAAAGAAGATCATTGAATCACAAGAAACAAGAAACAAGCTACACAGCTTGTATGAATCCGTGAATAAACTATCAACAACTGATGCATTAAAGGTGTTCCATGATGGCTTGTCCCAAAGAAGAGTCAAYGAGGGTGATCTGGAACAAAATTCAGATGGCAGTGTTCTAGATAGTTACTACGGACAGCTTCAGTCTCTCATTGTCGAGTCCCCTGCAATTGAGGTGCAATCAAGGGATAAAGCAATATATGTTTGAAACAGGCGAAGATCCTTCACTTCAATGAGGTTTGTTGTGCTACTGTTATACTGCAGTGATCAAGTTAACAAGATGAGCTCAATTCTAATATTTTCGAGGAGAAACTAATAGCTTGTGGTCAATCATTATCTTATTTGTGCAAAATTACTTCTTTTGATGATATATGGCACAATCTATTTTGTTGTAGCCACAGGGTACAGATGAATGATTTGGCTCCAAACCGATACTTATGGGAAAATTTGATGTGTACTGTTAATTTGTGAAATTAAATAATTTGTTTCAAAAACTGAAACTTCTGTGATCTTTGTTGAAATAAGCGGGTTGCAGCATAACATGATCGACTTTGGTAGCTACTCAATAAATCAACTAGGGTTTGTTATAATTAGATCGTAGTGTTTACTGTTACCTGGATTATGCTCTCCTATCTTTTAAGAGAATTAATGTTGACAAATATACAAAGAGGTACTGTCTTTCACTGAATCCCATTCTAGGGTACAAATTTTTTATTTGTAATACCAGAACTGGGTACATTTTATTATCTGATGGTGCAACGACTGGTTCTTTTTTTAAGGCAAAATATTATGAAAAGGGGACAGATCAAAACTATTAGCCTGCCCATGCAAGGATTGCTTGACATGGATGTACAATACCGTACAACGAGAGGATGAATGTAAGTGGTCATACACCAAGGTCGAAAGGCAAAAACAATTAGAAAAGCCCTTACGAGGTAATTCTGATAATCCAATTCGCTCCAACAGACAGGCATGGTTTCTGTAGTCAAAGCAACTTCGTCACTTTTGTGAGAGTCTTTCGTTTTCTTCCTTACAGAGAGGGGCCCCTTGTTGAGCAGGGTTCTTTTATTTGATCCCGAAGTACCTTTGGCATGATTTGGATTCCTATCAAATGATGTAGGACGTAATCCTGGACGTGTCCGCTCAGGGGGTTGCGGACACACCTGTGCGGATTACACACTGGACTCCCGGATCATGTTCCAATTGTCGACAAAAAACCATCAAAGTGCTCCCCTTTTTTTTCTTGTTTT